CTGGCTGCATGCTCTGCTCAGCTCTGGTCACCACCCTCCCCTCCCTCATAGCTGTGCCAGTGCCTGCCCTGCTCCCCTGCAATGCTGGCCTTCTGTGCTTCTGATTTCCAATGAGCCAGCCACTGTAAAGGCACAAAACCCACCCTTGATTTTATGCTTCTGAAAAACAGTGGTAGAAGCTATGAATCTTCTGATTGTGGGCTCCAGAAAGTGCTCATATTTGAGGGGAAGGAGATGTTGCAGAGGCCTGGGCTGAGGTGTCTCTTGCTGTGGCTTGTGTGTGTAAGTGAGGGCATCTGTGTGTCTGGCTGGCTGGAATCCGGCCTTCCCCTGGAGTGAACTTGAGCTGCTTTCCTTGTTCAAGCCTCAGGCTTGCCCCAACCTAGGTCGTTCTGTCCAGATACAAAGAGCGTCATCCTTTTTGAGTCACAGCATTCATCTTCCTCATTGGTCTTCTTCTCCCTATTTCTGACTGCAAAGTTCCCCCGAACAACCCCAGAGTGGTTCTGATAGCACGTTGAGCCACTGGAATATGTAGTCAAGAAATCAGACATGTCAGTAGGTCAGGAAAGCCATGTGATGAGTGTAAGGATTCAACTGGCTCCAGAATGCTAAGGGAGCTCAAATGACTGGGCACAGGCCCTGGGGTGGCTGAGAAAAACTTCCTGGGAAAAGGGATGCCCAGTGAATACATAAATAAGTAGAAAAGTAGGCATTGGAGTTTTAAGTGAACTGAAGAGACAACTGGACCAAAGGCTTAGAGACCAAGAAAGGAGTAGAGTTAAAAACAGAAGCAAACCAGTTTCTTTGTTCATGTTTTGGGTTCCTTCACCTGAACCTCTGCAGAGTCCCACTGCCCCTCTGCCTGGTTATAGAAACAAGGCAGGAGGTTTGGATAGTGTTATTAAATCTACCTCTCACCAAAGGCCTCTTATTAAATGGCTTCCTAATCCTTCCTGTGTGCTGTAGGAAAGAGCCAGTGCTGCCATTTCCTACAGCCCACCTTGGTTGAGAAGCCAATCTCCCCAGGCTGACTTTGTTCCATCTGTTCAGTTTACCGACCAGGACCTGCTGGCTGGTGGGAGTCATATGGAGGATGAGATAATGGCTACTTTCTCTGAGCCAGTCACAAGCCTAGAGTTAATGCCTATCTTACCAGAATGTTCTCTTTGGGGTTGAAAAAAGCCCTGTTGAAGGCTTCATATTCAGGAGAGAGGACCATCTCAGATCCCTACATCATGATGGGTAGAGGAAGGGCAAATGGGCCTGTAAACTGCTTCTTCCAGACTCTAACCCAGTGACAGTAAACCTTTTCGAGTCAGAGTATCCAAACTGCACCCCAAAGCCCACTTATTTATTGCAAAGGGCCCTCACTGCAATTAAATCTGAATGCCTGGCTGTTGGGGTGATGCTGGGGTGACTTGGCTTGTGTGCAGACAGAAGGCTCTGTGTTGCCGCTGCATACATAATGCCATAGGTCCGCCACCACTGCTCTAACCCAAGTCTGTTGGGCATTTTATTGTGTCTGGTCTTGTGTTTTAGGAAGGGTAGGATCTGCCCAAGGCATCGCTGTTAGACTGAGATGCAAAATGTTCAGGCCTACTAGACCTAGTAGCAGGCCAGGGCTGCCACTGGGAGGGTGACTGGTCACCACAGCGGTGGGACGCCTCGACTGCTCTGTGCTGCTTGTGCCACGGGCGGTCTGGGCCCTCAGCTGGTAAATGGATGTCGCAAGGGCGCCCGGATTGTTCTCCGGTTTCAAGGTAGAAAGCCGCGGTGCTCGAAAGTGTAGCCTAGAGGTAGGCTGGCTGGAGCAGACCTGGGCTCTGAGGAGGGGCAGAGGCCCGCAGGGGGAGCTCTGTAGGCTCAGGGCCCTTGGCGGGTGGCACTGGAGGCCTGGCGGGCCGCGTGCTCACCTGCTGGTCTGCGAGGCTGGGGGAGGGGGCCCGAGGGCGGGGCCAGAGGCCAGCTGGCCAATGGGGAGAGGACATACAGTGGTTTGCTAATTCCCCCTGGAAAGTGGGCAGGGGCGAGGTGAAAGTTCGCATCTCCAGAGCAGTGAAGGTCGTTGGTGGGGCCAGAGTTGCCCAGGAACAGTTGGGGGCTCGAAGACCTGACAGAGGAACAGCAAGACGCCTGCAGCGGCTGTCTCTCCCAGTAGCGGTAGGCTCCGCCCCTGACCACTTCTCGGACTCCACCGGCCAGCCCGCCATCGCTGGCTCCATAGCGCCACCTGCTGCACATCGGCTTCCATGTCCAGCGCGCCAGGGCCGAGGCAATCTCGAAGGCTGCCACCGCCCGGAGGTGAATGAGCTCACTCGCTCCAGGCCCAGCGGCTTTGGAGCAGAAGGTAACTGCCTCTTCTAGAATACGTGATGTGACGTGATGGAATTAGAAGGCTTGTGACCCTCAGAATAACTTCTTGTCCCGCCCCACCCCGCCGCGCCCACAGGGCTGACATTTCCATCCCTCAGTCCCACCCAGGGATGAGGAAATGGTGAGGAAGGAGTCAGTGGCCAACGGGCAGTTTGGGAGTCATCTGTGGCACCTGATGACAACGAGGCATAGCTGGAAACTCCTTGGGTTCCTTGTGGGCCTGTTGTGCAGAGATAGCTATAGACAAGGGGAAAGAAGGGAAGTAGCTGCCAGCAGTATTAGCCGAGTTAAAAGGCTGTGAAGTTCCCAAGTATGGATTATCTTTCCTCTCCTCCTGCCTGCCAGAGTATAGAGCAGAATTCTCCATAATTGGACTCAGGACTTGTTCATCCTTTCAATAAACATTTATTGAGCACCTACTTTGTGCCAGGCGCTGTGCTAGGCGCTGTGGATATAACAGTGACTAACATAGTCCCTTTCCTTGAGGAGCTCACAGTCTATTGGAGGGGAAACATACATAAACACATAATTAAGGAGCTACACTGTGCTACTGCTACAATAGGAGGTATGTGCAAGTGCCCATAGGATCCGAGGAGGGTGTGACACAGCTGCTGGGAGGTAAGGACCATCACTCAACTCCTGACTCTGTGAAAGCATCACAAAGACAGGGGTGTTGCCAACATGGCTGGCTAAAAAACCCATCTCGTGGGGTTCTCCTCTACCATAATTGCATCAGCACAGGTTAGTTTTTCAGATTAGCTACTTTAACACTTTTGGTAGGGAAGAAGCTGGACAGGGAAGTTTCTTGCGGGGCAGAGGATGCTGAAAGTGGTAACAAATCTTGGGTGCTAAGAGGGCACAGGTACCGTGATGGCACTGAGTTGAGGAGGGTAGGTCTTAGCTGTGGAGCACCTGGCTAAGTGTGTGCCTGTGCAGAGGGCAGGTCAGAGGTCACCTACCTTAAATTCTGGTCCGCATCTCCCACCAGTGCGATCAGTAACCATTCACTGGTGTTCATCTGCTTCATAGTGTGCCCTGTCCCGTGGGGGATCCAGTCCCCTCTGGCCCTCAGGAGGTAACACACCATCCGGGCTGTCCGGATAGGTGCAGGTCATTGAAGCCTTGAGTAACAGTTCATGAATATAATAGAGGAGATGCCACAGGCTGTTGGTGATTAGCTGTTCAAAGAGCAGTACTGCCATGAGTTTAGAAGAGCTCACTGAAGGATAGGCTGCTTTGGGGAGGCAGCTTCCATGAGTCGAGTCTTGAGGACAGACACGATTTAGTTGGTACAAGGGGAATAGGAAGAGCATACACACTGTGAAGAACCCAGTAAAGGAAAAGCAGAAGGGGAACGTTTTGAACAGAGGCAAGCGCCAAGCAGTTGGTTCGGGGCGGTACACTGGGGTAGAGGCAGGCGCAGTGTGTGGCAGCTGAGGAGTCCGGACAGGACTGATGGTGAAGGGCCAAGGACTTGGACTTTGTCTGAGGGTGGAGCTGTTGCCCAAACTTAAAGTACTTCTGCAGTTACTGCCCTGAGATCTGCAAGTGTTCTTCTGTCCTTCCCGTGTGTCCCCTGGGCTGCCCCATGGTCCTGCAACTGAAGGGCTGATGTCAGGCCTCTAGGAAGGAGGGGAGAGGAGACACTTCAAGTGTCACCCTACGTGTAGGCCAGGAGTCACCGAAGGCAGAATGACAGAGTTGGTGCTGTGGCAGATTGGAGAGGGTGACCGGTCACACTGGGTGGGGCACTGGTGTGTCTGGATGGGGAGAGCTCCGGGTAGTACAAGCCAAGTTGAGGATGTGCAAAACAGGCCAGATTGTGAAGACGCTGTAACTGTTCTGCTCCCTTCAGGAGAAGGGAGGGGAGGCAGGGCCCGGTGAAGGTAGCTATCAGGTAGCTGTGAAGTTCAGGCTTAGAAGAGCGGGGAGATGCGGTGTCATTAAGAGAAATAACCAAGTCCCGGTAGCCTTTTCCTTGATTTTTTTTTTTTTTTTT